ATTGATTGTTTAAAAAAATAAAAAAATTAAGAAAAATTAAAAGAATTATATATTAGTGGAATGAAATAAAAAGGTGCAAACAAGACTATAATCTTTGAAATTATATGAAGACGCATATTCATTTATACTTTATTATATTTTGCACTTGTTTGGGAAGTTGAGCCTATGTTTTGAACCACAGAGCCTACACTGAACTCGCCTTCAAAAAAGCAAGCCCAGGTAGGATGAAATATACACACACACACAAACCTGGCTATCCGATGTGGGATAGCCCCTGCCCAACCAATCCCGGGCCGAAGCCCCACCCCGAAACGAGGCCCAAAGAGAGGTTGCAGCAGAGCCCACAGCAGAGTTGAGCCTATGTTTGGCATCGGTTTTTTTAGCTATTTTAGTTATAAAATGATAAAATAAATTAAAAAATTAATATAATAAAATGTCATACTTAAATCATAATCACCTTGCTTGTTTCCACTTTTCAAAAAACACTTTTCAGAAAATTTTACTTTCTTATTTTTCGTGTTTTTTTTGTTTTTACTGAATTTTTTTAATATTTGAAACAATTTTTTTACTTTTTAGACACACCTAACATAAATACACCTAAAAAGTAAAAAAATTGTAAAAAAAATCTTTTAAAAATTAACTAAATACTAAAAATACAAAAAAAATATAAGAATTCAGTATATTTTTTGTATTTTTATGTATTTATTAATTTTTTTAAAAAAATTTCACAATTTTTTTACTTTTTAGATACATCTAAGTAAGGTGCATCTAAAAACGTAAAAAAAAATGTTTAAAATTCAAAAAATATTCACTAAAAACAAAAAAACACCAAAACCAAAAAAGTAAGTTTTCAAAAAACTTAATCCATAAAACTCAAACCAAACACACTGAATTATTTTATTTTTTTCTCATAAAAATCAAAAAAGTCAAAAAAATTCATCCCAAACGAGACTTTTTTGTCCCAAACTAAAACAGTCAAAAAGCCAAAAGTCAACTCACATACCAAATGAAGACTGATTATACTTTATTATATTATGCACTGTTTTGGGAAGTTGAGCCTATGTTTGGCATCGGTTTTTTTTAGCTATTTTAGTTATAAAATGATAAAATAAATTAAAAAATTAATATGATAAAATGCCATATTTAAATCATAATCACATTGCTTGTTTTCACTTTTCAAAAAACACTTTTCAGAAAAATTTATTTTTTTATTTTCCGTATTTTTTTTGTTTTTGCTGAATTTTTTTAATATTTTAAACAATTTTTTTACTTTTTAGACACACCTAACATAAATACACCTAAAAAGTAAAAAAATTGTAAAAAAAAATCTTTTAAAAATTAACTAAATACTAAAAATACAAAAAAAATATAAGAATTCAGTATATTTTTTGTATTTTTATGTATTTATTAATTTTTTTAAAAAAATTTCACAATTTTTTTACTTTTTAGATACATCTAAGTAAGGTGCATCTAAAAACGTAAAAAAAATGTTTAAAATTTAAAAAATATTCACTAAAAACAAAAAAACACCAAAACCAAAAAAGTAAGTTTTCAAAAAACTTAATCCATAAAACTCAAACCAAACACACTGAATTATTTTATTTTTTTCTCATAAAAATCAAAAAATTCAAAAAAATTCATCCCAAACCAGACTTTTTTGTCCCAAACTAAAACAGTCAAAAAGCCAAAAGTCAACTCACATACCAAATGAAGACTGAGTTAGGGTGGGTTGCAGCTAAAATAATCACAAAAAAAAAAAATTAAATTTTTTAATCTAATAAGACAAAATGTCACATATAAACTATAATTATTTCATTTTTTTCTCTCACAAAAGTACAAAAAAAAAAAAAAGTCATCCCCAATGAAATTTTTTAATTTCAAACTAAAATAACTAAAAATTCAAAAAAATCCATCTACATTTTAAACGAACCCTTTTTTTTTCAGTTCTACTGATTTAAAATTTCCAACAAAATTACTATTAGCTCTTTACTTTTCTTTTTCTTTTTTTCCTTTCTTCATGTGAATGTCAATAAATAAACAGTGTTATTTTATTAAAAGATTATTTAAATTATTCTACGATTTAGGATAAGTTTTATACACATTATGCGAACGTCACACAATTATATGCTCCCTTATCTTGTTTTGTGACGTTACTTTTCTGTAACCACTAATGGGGGCTACTGAGCAGACGACCTTACTTTGCTTCATGTGAGCAATGAGGATTAAGATAGGTTCTTCACATTTCAGGTTCCACTCTTTTAGGGTTAGCTATTTGGATGATAACGTATATAATTGGTATGATGAATTTTTTAAGTTTGGATGAATTGTATTTAGTATTATGATTGTGTATTTGAATTTTCGTTTATTTGCAAGTCCGTGACTTACTACTACATGATTAAGTAGTCTTATTATAACCATTTAAAGGCGACCTCTGAGGAATCCGCTCTTTGTAAGGTTTATCCCCAGAAGTTAACCTCTATGTGATTAGGCCTTTTGAGATGTGTTCTAGGAATTTAAAATTTAGTGAATCTGAGGGTGCAAAATATATTTGATGATTTAAATAGTTTATGTTACAGTAATTTTTGTGTATATTGTCTGTAAAAAAAAATAAATTGATTTGATAGTAATAACATTTTTATTTTTATTATTTATTTTAAAAAATGTAAGTTTTTGTCATATTCACATTTCAACTATATAAAAATTTGAGGGACTCATAGGGCTCATCACGAGTCATATTTCGATGATTCAAACTATTCATTTTGTAAAGGCCTCAATTTACATCATTTATAAAAAAAATTAGGTCAATTCGATAATTATGACTATTTCATTTTATCGTATTTGTCTCTAAGAAAAAAAAATGTAAGTTTCTGTCATATTCACATCTCAACTATATAAAAATTCGAGGGACTCATAGGGCTCATCACGAGTCATATTTCGATGATTCAAACTATTCATTTTGTAAAGGCCTCAATTTACATCATTTATAAAAAAAATTAGGTCAATTCGATAATTATGACTATTTCATTTTATCGTATTTGTCTCTAAGAAAATAGATGGTCTATTTTCAAAAAATATTTGTCATCCATTTTTTTAGACAAATGTGATAAAATGAAAATATTACGATTATTTGATTGAACTATTTTTTTTCCCGTAAATAATATACATTGAGGACCTGACAAAATTAACGTTTTAGATCATTGAAACAAAATCCGTGATAAATGCCTCTCAAGTTCTCTCAAGTTAACATGTGAACTTGCAAAAAAATCAAACCCTTTTTTAAAAACCATACTTGTCGTCCACTTTTTTTAGAAATAAATGTGATAAAATAAAAATGTTACGATTATTTGATCAATTTAAATTTTTTCATTGATCATATCTAATGAGAACACTACAAAATGAATCGTTCGAATTATGAAAATAAGTCCATATTAAATCTCATGGGTCTCTCAAATTCTCTTAAGTTTAGATTTAAACTTGAGAGAAATTCAAGCATAAACTAAACTACCAACTATTTATATATATATGTGAAATATAGCCATGTGAGTGATTAATAGAATAATTAATAATTTAGTTTATGTTTCTATTAGTTATTTATTTATTTAAATCTTTGAAAGGTGTGTGTTGAAACTAATAATAAAAAGGAAAAGTGATTTCCCCTTACGAACTATTGCAAGGAACAGATTTCCCCTTATAAATCTTCATAAATATATGCCTTTATGTTGTATAGTTTGGGAATTTGGAAAATAATTTAAAAAGTGAAAGAAAAAATATAAATAAAATGTAAATAAGATGTATTTACATTTTATTTAATTTCACATATCTTTTTTATTTTCTTTTCCCTTTCTAAATTCCTTCCAAAATCATTAACCAAACACAATTCTTACCTGACACGTATTTTAGCATATATGTTAATTGTATTACAAAAATTACTAGAAAGACTTAGGCCTCGTTTGGGAACATGCTAATTTAGTAACTTTTTGGCTATTTGACTAAAAAGGTAGGTAAAAAAAACTTGTATGTTTGGGATGACTTTTTGGCTAATTACGAAAAGATGTGCAAAAAGTAGAGAGAAAAGAGAATCTTTGACTTTTTGGTATGAGTTGTTGACTTTTTGACTAATTTAGTAACTTTTTGACTTCTTGACTAAAAAGATAAGTTCCCAAACAGGGCCTTACTATTAAAATTTTTAGTGTTGCTCTTATGTTATTGGAGTTCTTTCTCTCTCACTAAATTAACAAGTACTTAGCACATTAACTCTCCTCGTCTCATTTTATTAATCCACTTTTCCATTTTAGTCCCAAAATGTTTGCCTGTACCAAAATGTTTGGACTTAAATTTTGTTAGGTTTTTAAAATTATCTTTTATAAATCATTACGAACATATTTTGAAATTTAAAAAGAAGGATAATGGTGGGAAAAATATTTCAAAATTTGAATTAAAATATAATTATTGTATGTCTCTTTAATAAGTTGGATTTTTTATAGTGGACAGAGAGAGTAATAATTAAAAGGTGGTTTGAGATTATCTAAATAAGTGCACTTTTTGACTTTTTGTGAAATATGAGTTGGGTATGGGTTGGGTTTGAAGTGATATGATAGAGAGGTGATGTGATTTAAATAAAATGATGTGATTTAAATATAATAGTGACTTTTTGACTTTTTTAGAATACCTAAACAAGGCCTAAATATATTTTTGAGTGAAACACTAATAAATCTCAAAATCTATCTATATATATATATTATTATAAAATAAACACTCCTTATGGTATTATTTGTTTCTTATGTTGCTATTTATCTACTTTTTTATTTGAAATAAAAAAAAATTAGACAGATAAGAGGAGGAGATTTAAACCTTAGATTTATGTCAAATAAATAAGATTTTTACCACTTAAATAACACACAATATATGATAAACATTTTATTTTATTTTTATTTATTTGAATTGTACGCACATTGAGCATGTGGCAACCGCTAATGTGTATATATATACTTCAGCAACAGTTTCATCTCATCATCATCATCATCATCAGGCATCAGCAGCCCCATTCACTACCCCACGAACCAACGCAACCTTCGGCAACGTTGCGCGAGAGAGCAAACATCGCATGTTTGTTCTCTCTCTCTCTCTCTCTCTCTCTCTCTCTACCCCACATTCAAACTTAAACCCCACCATCGCCCCCACAACCCCATATCTCTCTCTCACTCTCTCTCTCGTCAATCGACGTTACTGCTCTTACCCTTCAATTCCAGGTACATTTTGATCCAGATCTTGATTTCTGATCTCTGTGACGTTTAATTTTGTTGGGTTTTCACTTTTTTCTTTTACTTTTTTATTTTGACATATTTAAATTTGGATTAGGTTTGTTAAAATTTTTAGGGCCTTCTTCTGGGTTGTTGAGATATGTGTGTATGATGCATTTGTTAATTTCATCTATTCTATTATTTAAAGGGAATAGCTTTCTTGGAGTCTTGAAACCATTCTCTTAGAAATTTTTTCTCATTTTTCCTAAAATGACCTTTAACTTTGTAAATAATTATACTACTTTTATACTTATATCAGTTTCTAATAAATTACTAATTTACAAACTGAATAACCTCCATTACCCACATTTCACAAAATGTTGCAGTTCCACGTTTACAAAACAACCGCTGCTGATAGCTATTTTCTCTTCTTCCCTCTCTATTCACAAACTTTTCCTTCTCTTTTGGAAAAATACTATTCAACTATTCAAACAACTTTTTCCTTTTTTTTTTTAATTTGGTGAAGAAAGACTAATCAACTACATTCAATCTTATGGACTAATCATCTAACACTACAAGGCCCTGTTTGTTTTGGGTATGAGAGGGGGATTGGAATTAGGATAGCTGTGGGTCCCATTTAATGTGTTGTTTGTTTACAGAGTTGAGGAAGGGACTGTTAAGCCAAAGGACTTAGGATAGGTCTTGCATATGGGATTCGAATGGGCCTCCAGCACATAGTATTAAAAAAATAGTCCGGGACATGGTATTAGAAAAATAGTCCGGTGGACTAAAATTTTTTTATTTTTATTTATTTTTTATTTTATTTTTTACATGTCGGGCATTTTTTTTTGAACATTAATGTTTAATTTTTTGTATTTTTTCTTAAGTAAAAATCATTATTTTATTATTTTTATTTTTTTTCTGAAATATTTTTATTTTTTAAAAATTTTTTATATGTTGGGCATTTTTTTTAAAACATTAATGTTTAATGTTTTTGTATTTTTTTTATTTGTTTTATTATTTTATATTTATTTTATATAAAAATAATTTAACAATCCTTACACTAACAACTATCATCAAAACAAACACAATTTTACTTTAATCCTCTCACTATTAATCTCTTCACTATCAATCCCCTCCATCCTACCTCTGAAAACAAACGGGGCCTAAGTGTACTATTGTTAAGCTTTTGTTTGTTTTTGTGTATAAATTCAATATTTTAGAATTAAATTTGTTTGTTTACTTAATTTTGTGTGTTTGTTATTTAAAATAAAATTCAGTGTTAGTTTGTTTATTTAATTGTTTATTTATTTATTTATTTTTTACAACCAATCCAATATTCAAATAGAGATTTAACTTCTATTTCAGTCATTTTTCTCTTCATTTTTGTTTCTTCTCATCACAAATCCCTCCCTCAACTTATTGATCCCAGCAGAGCCGCCTCTCAATGGCCAAAGCATAAATAATTGTTCAATAGGGAATGGAAACATTAGCATAAACAACCAGTTAGGATGTACTGCTCTGGAAATTAAAACCCAGAAATGAGAAAAAAAAAATTATTAGTTTGATTTATTTGTTAATACAATCAGTGTTCATAAAATTTCTTTGTGCGTGTTTAAAAAAAACAATCAATGTTCTTAAATTTTCTGTGTCTGCTTAAAAAATCAGTATCTATTTGTTTGTTGTCTTCATTTTGTGTGTTTAAAAAACGAAAAAAAAAAAAAACTGGGTTTTTAAATTTTTGATGTGTGTTTTGTTAATACAATCAGTGTTCATAATTTTTTGTGTAATCATACTTTCTATAAAAAAATTTATAGAAAAAAAGAATATTAGTTTGATTTATTTGTTAATACAATCAGTGTTCATAATTTTTTGTGTAATCATACTTTCTATAAAAAAATTTATAGAAAAAAAGAATATTAGTTTGATTTATTTGTTAATACAATCAGTGTTCGTAAATTATTTTTTTTTAAATTATTGGTTTGATTTATTTGTTAATATAATCAGCGTTTTAACCGTTTGTAATAATATACGAATGTTGAGAGCGTGGATGGACGTGTCTGGAACTTGAAGGATTTGATTTTGCCCAATATGAAAAATAAATAAAATAAAAAATAAAAAAAATTCCCAATTTTGAAGAAAATAGAAAAGTTTAAAGTTGTGTGCGGTTTCTGAATTTAAAAGGACAAAAAAATATATTTAAAATATAGGTAAAAAATTAGGTTGTTTGATTGCTTAATTTTGTGAATGTGTTTTTCTATGTTTTTTTATTTAAAATAAAATTCATTGCTCTTAAAAAAAATCATATAAAATGAGTGTCTTCGATTTTTTTGTCTTGTCAACTTTAATTGTTTAGATTTAGACTTAGACTAAGACTAAAATAGTTTGGGGTTTTTCATGTTTCACTTTTTCAAGACAATTAGTCAATTAGAAAACCAAAATTATTATTGTACTCTATTAGTTAAAGTACGCATGTGTACAATTGTGGCTCACTTTAACAACGTAAAATTCTAATTTAATCAATGTACATTGTTTGTAAATTAATTTTTACATGTATCTTATATATTTTTTGCAAGATTTGTAAGATCTTCAGTCTTATCTTACCAAATTGAGATTTTATATGAATTTTTGTTGTAGATTTTTCTTTAGTTAAGATTAGTAAATATTATATTTTCTTAAAAAAAAAATTGAACAAATTTTAACATACATATATTTTATTTATCAAATAGCTTAATATCAAATGTTACATTACACATAGTTATACATGTGATTTATATGTGCATTATTAGAAAATTTAATGTGAATTTCATATTATAATTCCAAACGAGTTTGCACACGCATCACGTGTGCGCAGTCACTAGTTTTTATAAAGTGACACCTCTTATGGTATCCTGAAGCCTTTGTTTCTAATGCTGCCATGTGTCCACTTTTTTATGCTGCCACGTGTCCATTTTTTTTATTTAAAATTAAAAAAAAAATTAGATAGATGAGTGGAGGGGACTTGAACCTTAGACTAATGTTAAATGAGTTTGCACACGCATCACGTGTGCGCAGTCGCTAGTTTTTATAGAGTGACACCTCTTATGGTATCCTGAAGCCTTTGTTTCTAATGCTGCCATGTGTCCACTTTTTTATGCTGCCACGTGTCCATTTTTTTTATTTAAAATTAAAAAAAAAATTAGATAGATGAGTGGAGGGGACTTGAACCTTAGACTAATGTTAAATGAATAAGACTCTTACCACTTGACCAGCACACAATAAATAATAAGTATTTTATTTTATTTTTATTTATTTGAATAGCACACGCATCGCGTGTGTCAACCGCTAGTATGATATTGTGAATGATTTAGTCCTCAATTTTTTCTTATGAACCAAAGGTCACATTAAAGTGAAAATTATACAAAAAGATAATCGCTTACATGTTTGAGTTTAATTTTTTTAGGATAAAAGTGAGTTTCTTTAAATGTAAAATTATACATTTGGACAATCTGCACTATAGAAGATTTAGATTTTCCCTCTTAGAACAAATCTCACATTATGAACAAAAACGTGACACTCCAATAATATAACACTCCAATGTAAGACATTAAAAAACTAGTTGGTACACTTTTCCCAAATATAACAACGTAACACTTCAAAAAAACTCAGTAATATATTTTTTTTCAAACGTAACACTCCAATATAACACACAAAAAAATTTATTCGTATACTTTTTCCGAACATAACACTTAAATAATGTAATCCCAAATGTAACACTCTAATGTAATACACAAAAAAATACCAAAAAATTTCTTAATGTAATTTTTTCAAACATAACACTCATAATTTGAAATTATACATTACTTGTTAAGAAATTTTGTACTCTTTTTGGAATGGTTTGAAAAATCTCACATCCTTTTGAAATGATTTGAAGAATCCTATATTTTTTTGTTTGAGTGTTACGAATGTATTACATTAATTTTTTTTTGAATGTTATGTTTGGAAAAAGTACACGTTTTTTTAAAAACAAATATTACATTAGAGTGTTAAGATTTGAAATTATATATTTGCCCAAAGTTTACTAAGGGATTTTTGTACTCATTTTAAAATGTTTAAAGAATCCCACTTCCTTTTGGAATGTTTGAGAAATTCCATATTTCAAGTCATTTTTGTACTCATTTTGAAATGTTTTCCAAATAAAAAAGATTCTCATATAAAAATTCATCTCAAATTTGATTCTTATAGATTGTGTACATTACCTTTTCTAGAACAAAATAGGAAAAACAAATATTACATTAGAGTGTTAAGATTTGAAATTATACATTTGCCCAAAGTTTACTAAGGGATTTTTGTACTCATTCTAAAATGTTTAAAGAATCCCACTTCCTTTGGAATGTTTGAGAAATTCCATATTTCAAGTCATTTTTGTACTCATTTTGAAATGTTTTCCAAATAAAAAAGATTCTCATATAAAAATTCATCTCAAATTTGATTCTTATAGATTGTGTACATTACCTTTTCTAGAACAAAATAGGAAAAAGAGAATGAGACATAATAGAAATAAGGTTATAACCGTAAATCTAATTTTTAAATAATATATTAAACCTACCTTTTCAAAATTAATGAGAGTAATTGGTCTATAAAAAAATTATTGAGAGTAAATAGATCATCATTTTTCAAAATGGAATTTAAAGTAAATTTTCCTATATTTTTTTTTAAAAACTTTTTATTATATATAGAGCTCTAACCTCTCTTTTACTATGAAAAGTTTTTCAGATCATCACTTCTTGTTTGTGTTATCAATGAATCACCAATTGTCAAATTCTTTATTATTGTATCTCATGTTCAAACATAAAATTGGGAGCCTTACTCCTCCACCAATCATAACTAAAGATGATAAATGTGCCGGACAAACTAAGCAGTTAATCATTTAAACTTATTTTAAAAATTTTAATGAATTTTAAAATTTATTAAAACTTGTTCGAGAAAATATAAAAAAAATTATATTTTATTGATAAATAATGTTAAAAAAATGAGATATAAATAAATCAGGTTGAGGCACGGATATCTCGTTTTCTTTAAGGAGATCAAGCCCACTGCGGTAGGAAGAATCCAAATACCGATGCAGCAGTCACAAAACTATGACTTGTCCCCTCCAAGAAACAACAGCTCGACCACTTGTCCTATAATTCAAACCAACTCCGCACAAGATGGTGAACCCAAAGCTCCACCAAGAAAAAACATCCTTCGTTGGCTAGTAATCTCTGAAGTATAGAAAATAGTTGGTGTGTTGGTGTAGAAAAGAGTAGATGAGAGGAACTATTTATAGGCCACCAGGATTTTACAAAATACACAAAAAAATAATAATGACCGTGAACCTAGAGAAAAGGGAGAGTGTATCCAAATATTAACTCACCACCAAGTTCATGAATTTCAATTAATCTTCATTCATGAACAAGACAAAAAGTCACTAAAACAATGAATTTCCATTCTTGAATAAGATGAGATTCATGAACAAGACAAAAAGAGATTCATGAACAAAATATATAAATAAATAAATAAAAGATGTTAAAATGGTCCAACAAAACTTAATTTGTTAAACCTTTGAGTCGATCTTAAATAATTTTTTTGTCAACAGTCACAAAACTATGACTTGTCCCCTCCAAGAACACTTGTCCTATAATTCAAACCAACTCCGCACAAGATGGTGGACCCAAAGCTCCACCAAGAAAAAACATCCTTCGTTGGCTAGTAATCTCTGAAGTATAGAAAATAATTGGTGGGTTAGTGTAGAAAAGAGTAGATGAGAGGAACTATTTCTAGGCCACCAGGATTTTACAAAATACACAAAAAAATAATAATGACCGTGAACCTAGAGAAAAGGGAGAGTGTATCCAAATATTAACTCACCACCAAGTTCATGAATTTCAATTAATCTTCATTCATGAACAAGACAAAAAGTCACTAAAACAATGAATTTCCATTCTTGAATAAGATGAGATTCATGAACAAGACAAAAAGAGATTCATGAACAAAATATATAAATAAATAAATAAAAGATGTTAAAATGGTCCAACAAAACTTAATTTGTTAAACCTTTGAGTCGATCTTAAATAATTTTTTTGTCAAACCGAACTCAATTAGTTTTTATATAATTTTAGAATTTATAAAACTAAACTAAATAAGTAATTAATTGTTCAAGTCTAATTTAAAATTTTTAAAATATATTCAACATTAACTTGCTAACCCAACAAATTAAACTTGAATTAGTTTGAACCACCATGACAATCCAAATCACCAAAATAGCTTGTTATGGTTAAGGCATGGAATTAGGTCTATTTTGGAAAGTAGATTATAAATTAATTTTTTAATATTTTTTTAAAAAAATAAAGAGATAATATAATTTTTTTTAAAAAACAAAAATTTTTAAAATTGGCTTTTAATCAAATTTCAAAAATAGGCACGATGGATCAAAGAAGGAAATTTAAAATATAAGATGCCTACATAGAAAAACAGGGACCTAAGACTTTTGTGGTGAGACAACGGTGGGTGGGTACAATTCCTAATTTCTTAATAATCTTCCAAGTGTTGGGTTTGCTTTGCTTTGCTTTGCATTGCATTTTGAGGTCCGAGATCTAAGTAAAACCGCCTGCTTTTCTTTCTGTTATCAAAAAGCGGCATGGAACGAGGGCATTGCAGTTGAGCTCTCCGCCCTCACCAATTCTTTACACACGCACTTGTCTTTCTCTGTAAAAGCTTCCTTTTTGACCATACACTCTCAATCACAACCTTCTTCATGTTCCGAGTTTTCGCTTTTCTCACCATCACCCATCACTTTTGTTTTCGATTCAAAGCCAAAGCCAAATAGCTGAACATACACTCTCAATCGTTGTTTCTTCCTCCAATTGGATCTAACACTTGTTGCGCCCATTTTCAGTATCATATCGTATCAAGTAATCCTCCTTTTAGCTTTTAACGCTGTGTTTGGTTGGTGATTTGGGAAGAGATTCGGAAACGGAGAGGAAAAAGTAGGTGAAATGTGAATAAAATATCACTCATCTTTTCTTTTTCCCTTTCCAAATCTCTTTCCAAATCCCCAACCAAACACAACATAAATAAATATGTATAAACATGCTTTATTGCCAATGGGTATTGTGAAATTTGACATTTTGGATTAGAGTTTTGACGAATCTCGACCAGAATGCGTATCTAAGAAAAAATACCCAGAACAGTGTTTGGAATTTGATTTTAAACTGTACATTTGAACTTTTGTGCACTGTGTGCTACACCCATAATATGATTTTAAATCTACACACGTTCTTGGCAATTTTTCAGGTTTTTTTTTGTTTTTTTGTTTAGGTACGTAACATTTGTGAATATGGATTTCAGTTTATTATAGATGTTGGAAAGTAGTTACCACTGATTAGAGCGGCTCCAATGCTTTACTCAAATTTTTCATCAAATTTCACTTAAATTTGATTAAAAAAAAGCTTCATTTGATATCTCGCTTTCCAACGGAGTGAGTTGGGATTTCATCAAACCGCCGGTTGACCAGAAGGATGATTGGGGGATGACCGGCCAGTGTAAATTTTTTAAAATTTTTTGTAAGGAGGTGGTCGACTAGGGGGACATCTGGCCGGTCGTCCGGTGCTTAACGGCTCTCTATAGTAATTTGGTGAAAGGTTCCAACATTCTAAATTTGATGAAAAATTTGAGATATCCCCAATTTGATGAAACAAAAAATAAAACGTTGGAGCACCAGTTTTGTACTGTTTTTCATCAAATTTAAATTTGATAAAACAAAAGATGAGATTGGAGATGGTCTTAGTAGTTAATTAGGCCCCCCTAAAAATCAAACTTGGCTTACTTGTACTATCTTCTTTTTGGGTTTATCATAATTGTCCAAAAAAAAAAAAGAAAAAAAGGAAGGAAACTGACAGTTGCTTTTGGATTGTGTTATGGTTGTTCGTAGCTATTGCTTCACAATAATGATGGAGAAGGCAGATCCTTCGCAGAAGCTTTACACGCGGATGCGGCTATGGGAGTTTCCAGATCAGTATGTTATTGAGGCCACGGATGGCTCTACTGGCTCCTGTTTGGCAATCAGTCGGGTGGATGGGTCAATGAATATTATTGGTCAGCTGCTTTTATATTGTTACTTGTTTGACATGCTTGTACATTTTGGATTTCAATTTTACCTAGTTTTTATTTTTTATTTACTAGATGCTAGGTGTTTTAACCCTTGTATTTTCCTTTCTTTAGATGATATTCCACAATGCAGCACTATTCGAGTACCGAAAATTTGGACCATCTTTGGTGTAATTGGGATAATGATGGAGAAGGCAGATCCTTCGCAGAAGCTTTACACGCGGATGCGGCTATGGGAGTTTCCAGATCAGTATGTTATTGAGGCCACGGATGGCTCTACTGGCTCCTGTTTGGCAATCAGTCGGGTGGATGGGTCAATGAATATTATTGGTCAGCTGCTTTTATATTGTTACTTGTTTGACATGCTTGTACATTTTGGATTTCAATTTTACCTAGTTTTTATTTTTTATTTACTAGATGCTAGGTGTTTTAACCCTTGTATTTTCCTTTCTTTAGATGATATTCCACAATGCAGCACTATTCGAGTACCGAAAATTTGGACCATCTTTGGTGTAATTGGGATACTAAAGCTCTTGGCAGGTAAGATTTTCTTGTTAATGACTCAAAGTCTAAATGTTTAAGATCTGGATCTGTGACTTTTGGTTTTGGCACCAATGTTAATCAAATTTTATTTTAGGCCATGTGAGAGTCATGCTCTGAAATTTATGGCTTTGAGATTTATGTGTGCCAACATAGTCTCTGTAATTGGAACAGAGTAAGATGGTTTAGATGTTTTATGAGCAAGGTAATAATTTTTAATTAGCAACCTAAGAAATTCTTGATAGTCAAGAGTTAGCTTTGTCACCCATGCTTTTATGGTGTACATTTTGAAGCATCCTTTGAGAAGCACATACACTGTGATTTTTCATGATTAAGATTCAATACAATGTAGTTAAGCTGGCAATATGTGGAGTACATATTGCCATCATAATAATAGTGGAGCGTGGAGAAATAACCACAGGTGGGTATTTCTTTAGTGTTATGTGTTTGCAGTCTGTGGATCAACAGTGCTGTACTATAGCAGTATGGTAGTTTACGAGGTTGGGAGATGGCAGCGTACTTACAATGGGTTTTGAGTTATATGAGTCACATAACATAGCATTTGTATATTTAATAAAACATTTAAATTGACTTAGGCTCAAATGATATCATGGTTTCTGTAAGTATCAATTCCTTAGATTGTTGATCAGAAGGGACAAGATAAAATTCGATTAGGCCCTTCAGTTTGGAAATTATCGTGACAAGGATCATATGGAAAGATCGATAGAACATCTAACTTAATAACCATTTTGTTATTTGTAAAGAGATTACACCAATTTAGTTTCTATGAGGGCCCATGCACCAAGATCTTTGTTTAGGTTTGCAGCTTGCATGAACCGATAGTGTGACACAATCTCCAACTTATTTCATGGTTGATAAAATGCCAATGTATGTATCTTCAGTGTCATTGACTCACTGATAAGCCTTTTAGTTAGCAAGAGAGAGATAATTATCAAGGGAGACGTATGATGAGATAGTATGGCTCAAACTTTGGTTAGCACAATAACCTATGAAGCACATATTCAAATACCAGATATGGATTCCATACAATATGGATACGGTGATACAACAAACTTTAAAAAAATAGAATGCGGGTATGGCCAAGATATGCTCATAAAAAATTATAATTTTTAGTACTATATTATACATAAGAGCAAAGAAAGGTTAGAAATTATTTTTTAAGAATTAGGTACTAGTTTAATAGTCAATTTACTCTCTTTTTTCCCCCCCTCAGTGGTCTTTTTTTTTCCCCCCCTAGTGGGTCCAATGAAAATTTCCTTTCATAATCAAGTCTAAATTGTTTATATTGTCCTTGTTCCTTTTCCTTTTCGTACTTAAAGTGTTATATACAAAAATATTGTATGCAAATTTACTTTCTTGCTTAATTGTTGAAATCTGATTTTAGTATTATTATCTTTCCTTTCTCATCCTATTTTCTAAAAAAGATGGATATAGATATGGGACACATGTATGACATGTTAAAGATTTATCAATTTGATAAATTTTGAGAAAGTAGGGTACAACTTTAATCTCACTATTTTCTTCTTCTCTAATATGTATTTAAAGTATTGAAAAACTTTTTTTGTATTTATCTTAACAAATATACTTTAATGCTATGTAAAAATTATTACAATCTCAATTTTATAGTAGTTCGGATTCATGAGCTAGAGTATCCAAAAAATATTCGATACTTATGGATGTGACTCCCTTCTAGAAGTATCCATGCTTCATAGGCAATAACTAATGATCTAAGACCTTGACTTGAAGGTGATCCATGATGGTACAATGCTTTCCTAGTATCATCTCTATATATGGATGTAAATGATAATGACACCTAACACTACCCCTTTCTCTAGCCACCCGTTTAGAATGAGAAAAGTTGTATAATGAAAATACACACCTATAAATGCAATTGTATGAGAAGGAAGGATGCCAAAGTGACCTTAGCTTCACAAAGTAAAAGCGAGGGCGAATAACATGTAAAATAATCTAAGGTTGGGAATGCATGGAGAAGTTTTTTTATTTGATATATGATTATATTGTAAGAAATATTTTTCTTCTTCAATTGTAATATTCATGTTAATGTGTACATTATACTAATACTTAAATTGTTAAACATAAGCATATTATTCTCATTACAAAGTAACCATTCATCACCAATAACATATATCTTTATTTCTTAAATCCTTACAAACTCAAATTTAAAGATCTATAAAAAAATCCCCCATCTTTTAATTGCTAAGAAGAGAAAAGCCAAAATCTAGGATAAATATATGTTCTCCACAGATATATTTGAGTAATCCCATCCCAAAAGGAATTGCGATTCTATCTTGACGGGAACAATGTGCTGACAAGATTCTTACTCTGAACCACAAAATCACAGTTCTAAGCGGAAACATCACTCCCGGGAGGAGCTTCCTAAAACTTGTGTGACACAAATATAATGTAAATTGGAATTGCTTGTACATGCAGATCAATTCATCATACATCATTATGCAGTCCAAAGTTTACATCCTTTCTGTATTGTTATTCATTTTTGGACTTGCAGTTTGCCCAATAATTTTAACGTAGTATGTTGCCATTATGCTTTCAGGGTCATATTTAATAGTAATAACGGAACGTGAATGTGTTGGATCTTACTTGGGGCATCCTATCTTTAAAGTTTCATCCTTAAAGGTCTTTCCTTGTGATCATTCTCTTAAAAATTCCCCCTTAGAACAGGTAAATCTACTTTCTTCTTACTGTCTAGTTTTACTAAATTGTTCAGTATTGTTTTTAACTCTGTTAGTGAACTGAATTTGGCAGAAAAAGATGGAGGCTGAATTTTTTGGGCTTCTAGGTGTTGCAGAGAACACTCCCGGGTTGTATTTCTCATATAATGTCAATATAACACTGAGGTAACTTGTTTTTATCTTTTTGTTTTTCCTTTTCTATATTTAATATTTATAATTTTTGTTGTCATTGGAATTTACTTAGGTGAACTAGCTCATTACCTAAAATAGGCATTCTTGCAAAAGTTTAAATCATTGTTTGGTACATATACCTTAAGATTATGTATATTTTTCAATTATGTAATTTCAAAACTAGAGGGTGGCGCAACTTGTGGGCTTGTTATTGCCCGCTATACCTTTGGCATCTTTTCTTTTAGTTACAATTATTTATCTATACTTGGGGAGATGGTTAGAGGGAATGATGGATGATTTGGCACAATTTAAATTGTGTGAGATTACCTTCTCAACCTTTTTATAAAAGGAGAAAGGGTATATCAGGAAGAATATCCAAAAAAAGGATGGTTTTGTGCAATGGCATGGTTTTAACATGTTAAAAGACTAAAAGGTGTAATCTCTTACATTCTGTAGAATTATTGATTTAACTTAGTTATCACACTGAGGATGATCATATCAATAATCCCTAATGCCATATTGTTTTATTGTAGATTAATTTATTATTACTCAATAGTTCTCATACTAAATTCAGAATTTGACTACTTCATTCATAATGCTTATCTATTTTTATATATCATAAATGGATGCGAATCAATGACATTGTAACTGCTTGTCTCAATTGGTCTGCCTGGTTGACACCTGTTGAATAGACCTGGTCACTTGATTGGATTTGTGGGTGGACCTATGTTACCAGAAAACGCTAATACCCTAGTGATTTACGTATTGGTACGCACATTCCGAAACATGATACAATTTCGTTCCAAAATGGTAAATTTATTGATCCAATGCGATCCGAAAAGTTTTTTCCAATATATTTATTTAAATGTTACCTTTGGAGAAAAAAAATCAAATATATAAATTAAAATCTAAGCTGAGTTAAGTTTTGACAAGACAAGCATAAAAAATGAGTCATAATTTTCATAGAAATGATTTGCTACATGGAAAAAAAAGAATGGATACCTAGTAGTTAAAAGAAAATTACTCTAAAAGTACTTTAAATTCTTAAATGTAATATATATAAGTCTACTCTTATCGTACCACATTTTAGAGCATGTAGTGTACTACATTCATGTTCCCGTTTCATGTACCGGAACGATCCACGTTCTAGGTAACATAGGGGTGGATCAGCTTCAAAACATTGTTTTAAATGAAAAACCTGTTTGCTCAGTTATTACATGCCTTTGGCATCAGTTAAGTGGTGTTTGATTCAGGTCTTCCGCATGTAAATAATAGAGGTCCATGTTTCTACAGTGTGACCAAACTCGACAAAGGTCCACAGCATTTGCTGGTCCAATGTGGTTCTATTAATGCCAATCTTAGGCATGGACATAGGGAATCATTTTTTAGTACACTGTACACCAGTAGGAATTGCAGTGATAAATGGATAGTGGCATATATTGTATCTCTTATTGGTGTCATTTTTTTCTCCTCTTTCTTCAATGAATTATTTAGGATTTTGATGTTAATTTATTTGCATTGTTTAGGGTAAATTGCACTGTCCTCCCTAGAGTTTGAAATTTGACACTTAGGATCTGTTTGGAAATTGGCATTTTTAGTGGCTTTTTGGCTTTTTACGAAAAACATGCAAATAAGTAGAGAGAATATGTTGACTTTTTGTATTGGCTTTTTGACTTTTTGGCTATTTTAACCAATTGCCAAACATGGGCTTGGACTACCTTGTTTGAGATAAGAAATAGCCCAGGCCTCCCTTGCCACTGGAATTATTGTGAATATTCTGCTATCACTAGGTTGACTCCGTACAATAACTTTTTTACCCTTGCTTACAGTTTGACATTGTAAGCTATGTCATCAAAAATTAAATATATAAACCATTTATATGATTTAAATATATAATACTTCCTTTTTTAATTAAACTTATGCAGTGATACTTGGATTTTATGTTATGGTATTTTAATTTAATTTTTTTTTTTTTACCTTTATTTTATGTTAAATTATCAAAATTAAATTCAAAGTATTATTATTTACATTTAATATTTTAGAAAGTATTTCAGATGACCCTCTTATGCTTAACATTGTATAACCTAATAATTTCTATTAATTTGTTTTAGGAAACAACTTTGTTCCATGGTGCATGGTTAATTACTTTTATTTATTTTTTGATTGGCAATGAAAAATTTTATTAACAAAGAAGCAAAAGCAACTACAAAGAGAGGATGAGGAATCTGCTCCAAAATCCAACGGCCATTACATCAAAAGAAAAAGCAACTACAAACACCCTATACATCACAAACAACTTTCCAATCTCTAGAAATGAAAAATCCTCTTACATTATTAATTATTAGAGAAGGAAAGTACACATGACATATCCATAGCATAGGAATTATTTGTTTTATTATTTGACTAGAAAGATGAAGCAAAGAAAGCACAGAGCGTGGCACCCCGTAACAATGGAATTATGCTTGGCCCTGTCCATAATATGTAAAATTGCATATAACTTTAGTCTTTATTTTATTGTGTCAACCTAGTCAATAATAGATTATTGTTACAGATCTCAGTGGCAGGGGAGGTCAAAAATGGGGGTCTAGGTGCCTAATTTTGAAACCTTGGGGGAGGTCGGTGCAATTTACCCATCATTTTCATACTCTTTCTTAAGTGGTTAATTATTTTTCTCTTTAATCTTGTATTGCAACTTGTTATTCCATGTACACCATAAACTGTGTGATGCCACCCAGAACCCCAAAGATGAGTTAGGTTGTGAAAAAACACCCACATAGACTCGTGCTTTTAAACTGTTGGTCTGTTGTTTACAGTTTAAGAGAACTTATAACAATCAGACAGTAGAGTGAGGCAGATTTTTGTTTAAGATTTCCTGGAAACTAAAGTCTGTTTTTTCATTGTTAACTATTTAGTAATAGTCTATATTGAGACCTTGTACATTTTTTTTTTTTCTTTTTTCCATATTTGTAGAACTGAAATTTTGTTTATCCCCCGAGACAGCTTTGGTTAAAAGATAAATTGAGGCAAGGAACTTGAATTAATATATATTGACACTTAAAGTGTTTACAGATTCCATACGGTTAATGTTGTTTCTAGTCAATGCCTTACAGTTTGTGTCTTGCAGTGCACAACGATTGCATAATTTAGGTGATGAGTCAAAGCTGCTTCCTCTTTGGAGACAGGTAAGCCGGTTTTGATGTTTTGAGATGGTTCCATGGAGCTTGTCTTTATGATGTGTGTCTAATGATTGGGCTTCTTAAATAAGTGCTCTGTTCATTTTTGTTGTGCCTATATATACATAACCTAATGGTTTTGGACCTTTATGTTTGTGACTGTCATTCTAATCGTGTTAGTGTTATCATGGATATCTAATGTTTTACCACAGGCAGACCCTAGGTTTTTCTGGAACAACTATATGTTGGAAGTGCTCATAGATAATAAGGTGGGTTTGCTGCCAGTCATAGATAAGCATTGTGTTTCATTTTTATCGAGAGCATTGTTCAATTTATGGTACACTAACTATAATATCCCACACGTGCAGCTTGATCCATACTTGCTTCCTGTTATCCAAGGGAGTATCCTTATCTCATTGTTGGTTGGCTATTGGTGACTTTTGCATAGTTTAACATTTATCTAATCTAGTTCAGCTCATGCATGATGAGTGTGTATTATCTGTCCTTACTTTTGAAGTTACACCTTAATGGACCATCAGCTTTTCAAAACTTTCAAGCAGCCATTGGAAAAGACATTATTGATGTTACTCTTATCGCACGGAGATGCACCAGGAGAACTGGTATTAAAATCCTGACTGCTGCTTTTCTTTTATTTGTTAATTTATTTTCCCCCAAACTTGTTCAAGGTTCATGCTGTTAAGAGCTGGGTTTAAAAAGTTAGGAAGGCACTGGAAGATATTGGTGAAGCAAAAAGCTAGTGACTCCACTTGGCGCAACATAATACTAACTTATGCTGTCCAGATAATTCAATATATCTAAGTGTTGAATTACCAAATAAAATTGTTTGTAGGGTCATAGCACCCCTTTCCCCTGGTTGTTAGTTCCTAAATCATAATTGTGGTTAGGGAAGTTAATAAGCACTCGAATACTCAGATTTGTATGACTCGTTTATGGTATTTTACTACCAAAGACCTCACTTACTTTCTTTGATCCAGTAAATTCATATGCCTAACTACTTTTAGAATGGACTCATGTTACCCATATTAGAGCTTTCAAAGATGTCATTGGAGCTCCCATTTTCAGAATAAGTAACTCTCTAAAGCCGTTGATACATTTTGGTATTGTTTTCCGCCTTTAGGCGGCTCCTGGATGAATAATTATGTTGTGGCATGTCGTGCTGTTTGCCCTTCTTTGCTAGCTTTAAATCCATGTAGTAGGATATGTTGGACTAAGCTGGTTAATTTTTCTTTAGCATAATTAATAGATCTTAGTCTATGTTACCTGGCACGTGGACCATTCTAGGAATAGCAACAACAACGTGGTGAGCCATATGCTCGAAAATGTGGTTCCATACGGGTGGGCTTGTACAGATCACACTTAGAATTTAAGGTAAATGTGAGTAATTTTCTTTTAATAATTAGACATCCAATAAAATATAGTTTATTATTCTTCAAAATAATCATGCACAAACAATTCTTGGAGGATAATGGCCTCTTTATTTATTTTTTATGCCAAACTGCACTCTTTCTAGATTTTTAGTTCATTATTTTGTTTTTAAGAAAATGTATAGGAAGAAAAATTTGTGATCGCTTTGAATCGCTAAATTCACCCTTTTGTAACATAACTGTACCCTATTTTGGAACATGTGTTCCAAAATGAAAATCGCCCAGGTGTTAGAATTTTTTGGTAACATTTATCTTACTTAATATTGTTGGCTTTTGCCATCAGGATGTGATTTTTCAAGTTAAATATTGTTCAGTGTGAAGTATGATATACAGATTTTAGTTTTTTTCCTTCTTTTCCATGCTACTTTTGCTGATTGTAGCCTTGCTTTTTAGGCACTCGGATGTGGAGAAGAGGAGCTGATTCTGATGGCTTTGTTGCTAATTTTGTGGAAAGTGAACAAATCATGCAGTTCAGCGGACATACAGCATCATTTGTGCAGGTAATCTTATATAATTTTTTTTTTCCCATTTGCAAACACACTATTGATGACTGTCTCCTTTCTCGATTCTTTCCCCTCTTAAAGAAGCATAAAGCATGAGAAAAGGAGAGTAGAATTACTGAACCTTGTGGTATTGAAAATTGTTTGGCTTTTCTTTCATAATATGTTCAATTATTTGAAGTTAATATGTTTGATTATCTAAAAAGGAGTAGAATTTGTTGAAAGGCAGAGGTTGCACTTTTCATATAAACTATGTACGGAGATCTTTTGAAAGTTATTTTAAGTAACTTGATAGCTACCTAAACTAATCCTTCTGAATCTATGGAAGTGCATAAGGTTCCATTTGAGTAGAAAGAAAATAATGATGGAAAGTGAATAGTAGAAAATGAAATGAACGAAAGGAAAAAGAAAGAAAAATCTATTTTCTTGCATGCATTTGATCAAGATGAAAATTTTAACTTTACAGTTTGAAAAGCATGAAAGTCGCTAGCAATATTTTTATATTTTACCTAATTGCCCTTTTCCATTTTAAATTTGGAGAGCGTGATAACTGTTGCCCACATGCATGGGAAAATAAAATTTCCTTGTGTATTTTGTGCGAAATCAATAGTTAGGTTTAATAGCTTAAGAGGGATGTACATGAAATCTCACTTTCTAACACTTTGCTAGGATTCTCTTGCTAATCAAACACCAAACAAATTTGATTTTTTTTCTCTTCCCCACATTTCCCATCAATATCTTGCTAATGAAACAGAGCCTGAGGTTAAGTTGCTAGAATGTATGGCAATACTTGTTTGATGCTTTGCATTACCAGGGGCTTAATGGGAAGACAGATTTATACTCAAATGAAAGAAGCCATAGCTCCCTATGGAATGTGATGAAAAGCATAAGGGATAGGAGATTACTCTTGAATTCTAAATTTTCTCTGTGGTTGTGATGCAATCAATAAGAAGAGCAATAAAAAATAAACTTGAGGAAGAAGCAAAATTTGAACGTTGATTTCGAGCCAAGACCCACTTGGGACCAACTAGAACCATGTATAATCGAGTTACTTATAGTGGAATCTTATTTTATGATTATTTGGGTTAGGTATTAAAAGTTAATTTGTTTGATTTATTTATTATTTTTTTAATGGTTCATAGGTTTGGGTATTTTGAAAATTTTAGGGGTGGCCATGAGGTGGGCTTGCACTACATTTGTAATAAATTGTATAGTGGCCCAAGCCCAACCTGGTTCAACATTGTGTCTAAACAATAAATTCCAAGCCTGATTCTAAGTGAAATTACAACGCCCTACCATTTATCCTTTAAATTACTTGTTAAATGAATAAAATCATGTCACTAATTACACGCATATGACTAGATATCACAAATGGTTGAAATTCTTCTTTAAAACAAAGAGGTTCGTAGTTCAAAGTTTAAACCTTCTAACTATCCTCTTTATAAGATGTGTAATGTAGGTTTCTTTCTTAAAGACAAAATTAAGTTACACAAAAATATAAGGCAAATATATACAATTACATTTTTATATATGACCTTTCCAGGCCAGACCTCCAATGACATTCCTTGGCCTGACCTTAAAATTCAACAAGCCTAAAAGGTTTGCTCAGCTTGGCCCTATAGATTTATACAATTTGCTGAAGCTTTATGCTTACGAGCTGAGTTGGGCAGGCTTTGTGAGCCATGGAGTCGGTGACCACCCTAGTTGTAGGGTCACCCACTTTTGGAATAAATTATGTTATTGTGTCGTAATATTTTTCTTAATAAGATTAAATAGGTTTTTAGAAGGGAAAGTCTTGGGTGCTTCTATTTACACCATTTAATTTGGTATTGCATCCACCTTTCTCTCACATCCCATCGAAAAGTATGCTCTCACACGAATGGGTTTTGTGAGAAATTTTGTGGGTGTAAATAGGAGCACCCAAAAATCTTAGTTTCTTATGCTCATTCTTCTTTTATTCTTTTCCAATCCACATTTCTAGAACCCCAGTATCTTTCCCAATTAAACCAAACCAAACTATCCCATGTATCCCAATTAAGTGGGATGGCTCGATGAATCATTTTTCACCCTTAAGCTCTATCAAGGGCTATTCGATTAGTTAAATTTAATAAATTCTTTGAAAAATGCTCTTTTAGCCTAATACTATTTTAGGTATTTATACAATAAATTAGCTTTTTAGCTCCTCTATATTCTATACTCTATACTCTAAACATTAAACATTCATTTTCACTTCTTTCTCATCTTATATCTTTTAACTTTCATCACTTATAAATAATATAATTATCCGTAATATACCATATCACCTTTCATTTTTATTGTTACTGCCATTCTTAAGGCTACAAAATTAGCCCATCCCAATATGGTTCGGGGCGAGGACAGAGCACTACAAATCCTCCCCGCAATGTTGTCATCCCTACTTGGTCCCCCCTAGAAAGAGGCCATATTCATAACAGCCATAAAAAAATGCCTCTTTCCTTGTTGAACTGAATCTTAAACCTTTATACCTTTTATATGTCATACTAACCATTAGAAGCCCAAAATCTTACCCAACCTTGCAGTCACAAAACTATTTGAAACCAGCCTTTAAAATCTTCTTTTCACCGTTGCCGTATTTTAGATTTGGGCTCAACTACTATAGGGGAGTGTTTTCTGCATTTGCCCTACATCAGGTTGTAAAATTTTTAATATTCTAACTGAGATATAAATCACTGTCAAAATACTATCAATCACACTGATTGTGCCACTAAGTAGTGATGTGTGAGCTTTAAATTATTCAATCACTCATGTTTTGCTATTGAATGGAAGAAGGGCCTTAAGGGGTTAACTGCAATAAATGGCAAAATACATCAAATCTAATACCCAATGCTGCATTTTCACTATAAATGATGGATTGCACGACTCCCATCTTTTTTAGATGATGTAATGTTTTTGATTAAAGACTAGTGACAAATCTGGGAATGGCCTGTAAATGATGTTTTGTCATACCATGATCTAAGTAACCAAGCCTCTTTAAGCTTTAAATTGATAATTAACGAACAAGAAGCTCCCTTTTTTTGTTCTTTTTCTTTTCTTTTCTTTTTTTTCAGTCAACGAGCTGGTAAGTCCATATGGTACGATATGACATGAAAAGCTACTTATATCACGATCTTCTCTCAGATAATTCATATTTGGCGGCAAGGGAAATAGGTCATCATAAGTTGTCTGTTTCTTTTCAAATTTTGTGAAGCAACGCCAATAGTTATCTTCATTGAAGTTAGACCTTAAATGTTAATGATTTTTTGCCCCCTTTGCTCTGATAGATTGTTGACTGAAAAACACTTGCGTATTGGTTCTATTACATCCATTACATTTGGTTTTATTTTTTAGATTGTCTTTTGCAGATTCGAGGGTCAATACCATTCCTCTGGGAACAAATTGTGGATTTGACTTATAAGCCTAAGTTTGAGATTGTGAAAGCTGAGGAAGCTGTGAGTTTCATAGTTCCTTCCTTCTGAATAGTATGTTTTTATTCTGCTCACCTTTTATTTCCTAATGAACTGCTTCCTCGCACAAAACTTTTTGCAGCCACGAGTAGTTGAACGACACTTTTTGGATTTAAGGAAAAAGTATGGAAATGTCTTAGCCGTTGATCTTGTCAACAAGGTAATTATTTCTTGATGTTACAAAATTTTGCAGAATTATTCATCTGATGTCAATAGATATTTTTCTCATTGTGCTGACAACTATGCAGATCAATTTTTTTTACATGCATGTATATATCTAACTATTATTAGGGAAAACTTATCGATGATATAAGATCAGTTAATCTATTTGTTTATCAGCATATCAATAACTACTAAATAAATTGGCCCCCTTTTTTCCATATAGATTTTGATGTTATGTGTCAAAATCTTTTACGTTGGTGGTGAAATATCGAAAATAATAAAAGGCATTAGAGATATATGATTTTGGTTGCAAGTACAACATGGAGTCAAGGACAAAGGCAACATAAGCCTTCTGGGGAAAATACATTTTGACCTTTGACTCGTTAGTCTAATAAAGCATGTGAGAGCCTGATATATATTGTAGGGCCCATTCAATAATAGCGTAAGCTTTTAGGATAGTTACTTGTCAAATGTCGCAATTGGACATTGGCTTTTGAGCTCTTGGTTCAAGTCTCTCCATCTGCATTATTCTCCCCAATGTCCCTATTTTGTTTGTTTGTTTGCACTCTATTTTGTCTATTTGTTTGCACCATGTTCTTTTTTTTCATCTCTCCAGATGCGAGAGGGGGATCACACACGAGGGAGGTTGTGACGATGCACATTTTTTGGGAGCAATAAATTGATTGGATGAATTGCAAAACATGACTTATCTTACTGAACTGTTAAGTGGTCGGAAAATTTTATAGACAAAATAGAGAAATAGGTAGAGAGATACGTATTTTTTTCTTCGTTCAGGTAGATGCATGAGCCAAGCAGGAGATGGTTAGTTTGTGGGCATGGCTAGGTGTGTAGTGTCTTTGTTTATGTCATGTGAGTTATAGTACATTTTCATACTTTTTGTTTTTGTTGTTCGTTCCTAAAATAACTTTATTCCTTTATCAGCATGGAGGCGAAGGACGCTTAAGTGAAAAATTTTCCAGTTCGATGCAGCATGTTGTTAGTGATGATGTGAGGTAGGAACCCCTTTCATATTGCATTTTCATTAAACTATGTTCTTCTATTTGATTCTAATACTTACTCATCTTTGTAGATATTTGCACTTCGATTTTCATCATATTTGTGGGCACATTCATTTTGAGCGCCTCTCTATGCTGTATGATCAAATTGAGGATTTCCTCGTTAAAAATAGGTATGGTTTCTTCTCAATGGCTATGAGTATTTGCGATCTATAGTGGTATTAGAATGATTTTTTTGTTCAATGTATACATGTGAAGATGGTTTTGCTTTTCAAGTAGGGAATTGTACATTTGTTTTGCTTCTGCATTGTTTTTTCTAATATACTTATCGAGGGTTAATTCAAGTCAATAAATTTAATTTAATCATAGGCATACATCCTGCTTTGTTAGGCACCAAGAGCGCCTTAATAAAATCTGTACACATTATTCAGTATCTTGGTGTACTCTGACAATTTTGACAGTAACAGAGTCATGGAGACATACATGTTGGTATTTGTAATAAATTGGACACAAATAGGAAGTTTTTCTAATATACTTATCGAGGGTTAATTAAAGTCAATAAATTTAATTTAATCATAGACATACATCCTGCTTTGTTAGGCACCAAGAGCGCCTTAATAAAATCTGTACACATTATTCAGTATCTTGGTGTACTCTGACAATTTTGACAGTAACAGAGTCATGGAGACATACGTGTTGGTATTTGTAATAAATTGGACACAAATAGGAAGTATTTGATGGGACAAATCCAAACACATCTTGTAATGTTACTATGAAAATGTATGGGTTTTATTGTTTTGAGAGAGAGAGAGAGCATTAGTTTCTTATGGTTATGGGTGAGCCCTGTGCAGATGAAAAATCCAAAAAAGCATTTAGTGTGTTTGGTTTTAATTTTCTAGAAATTGAGTTTTTTTTTTTTCGTTTTTTTTTTTTTTTTTTGGTTATTGTTTTTAGTGAATATTTTTAAATTTTTAAGCAATTTTTTTTAATTACTTTTTTAGATGCATGTTACTTAGACACATCTAAAAAGTAAAATATTTGTAAATAAAATATTTTAAAAAATCAATAAATACACAAGAAAACAAAAAATGTACTGAATTCTCGTTTGTTTTTTGTTTTGTTATGGTATTTTTAGTGAATTTTCTAAAGATTTTTTTCATAAATATTAAACTTTTTAAGTGAATTATGTTAGGCGTATCTAAAAATTAAAAAAATTCAGTAAAAACAAAGAAACACGGAAAACAAAAAATTTTAATTTGCTGAAAAGTGAATCCTAAGTCTAGAGCTGTTCTTGAAGTTTTCAGTTGTTGGAGAGGGGTGTAGAGTGTCCAAAAGAGAGAAGAATGACAGGAATGGTTGTACCTTTGTGCTTAATGTTGTTTATTTGGGGAAAAAGGAACCAGCGGCCATTTGATCATTTGGAAAATTTGAACCTTAGGCCTCGTTTGGGAACAGGCTAATTTAGTAACTTTTTGGCTATTTGGCTAAAAAGGTAGGTAAAAAAAACTTATATGTTTGGGATGACTTTTTGGCTAATTACGAAAAGATGTGCAAAAAGTAGAGAGAAAAGAGAATCTTTGACTTTTTGGTATGAGTTGTTGGCTTTTTGGCTAAAAAGGTAACTTTTTTGACTAAAAAGGCAAGTCTCCAAACGGGGCCTTAATATGAGAAGTAATTTTGGTTTATTTTTTATTTTTATTTATTTATTGGAGGATAGGGATAGTGAACCCATCCTGAGATCAGTTTTTGAATGATGTAGAGAATATAGATTCATGTGTAGCCTTTGGCCCTTTTCCCACACTTTACATATCCAAAGCCCCCCCAAAAAGTCAAAAGTTAATCTCCTTGTTACATAGTTGGATATATATTTTCTACCAGGATATTTTATTTTTAGGTGCTGTAAGTTTCTAAAAGGAAAAGAAAAAGAAAAATAGGGGGTGAGAACAAGTCTGTTGAAGCGGTCATTTTGTGAAAACAGTAAGGTCTGTGGTGCCTCAAGAGCATCCATCTACACATTAAGTATGGTTAATTATTTTTATATATAAACAAAAAAAAGTATGGTTAATAATTTTTATAGAGATGCTTGCAAAAGACTGGACCAGTTGCAATGCATTGTAGAAAGTGAATTGGCTACTTCATAATGCCGAAACCATGATTGTCTAAGATCTTGCTCCCAATCCCGTGATCCATTAATTTCTCAGGGAACACAACCATTGCTTGGGAGTTTTGGATTGGGTGAAAATTCTCCTATACAACTAGAATGAAAAGGGTATAACAATTCCTTGCTGGCTTGCTCCGAAAGGAACTCCATTTTCCAACGATTCCTTAACTACTTAAGTGTGTGGAACTAGTGGTGATTAATATAGTCTTAGAGCTTAGGTTGGAAAGGTTTTCAATTCAAGTCTTTCCATTGCTTCTATTCCCCAGTTGTATTTTGTTTCTCTGTGTATCAATGTCGGGTAATGCTATAGTACACACCCTCAAAAGGGTGTGTATGTACCATATGCATGTTATGACATTTGTGGGTTTGATCACCACAAATGTCATAACTTAATACTAAGGAAGTCATAACTATAACAAAAAGAAAAAAAGAAAGGAGTTTTAATCAAACACCACATAAGGTATAATCAAAGAGCTCTTGGATCATAACCGAAATAATGTCATAACCAACATCACAATGACTCATAACTAACACCGCAATAGGTCATAACCAAAGACCACAAAGCTCGTAACTAAGGTGCATTTGGTACACAACCCAACAGAATTTCCCATGAATGTTTGCATCTCTATACGCAAGACGAGATTGCATTTGAAGAGTGTGTTGGATAACTTAATATACGTTGTTGGGCCCATTGGGACTAGTGATGATCTAACGGTACCAACTCAGTTGCAGTAATATTGGTGAGAGTACCAACTCAGTTGCAGTAATATTGGTCAGAGTTGTTTTTCAAAATGACTTAGTTACCTTAGATGAGACAGTTATTCAATACATTCCAGTTCTTTTTGGTTTTGAATATGCATGCTGGAATGAGTATTTAATCATATGAATTGATTGATTTAATATATTGAGATCCTTAATTTATTTATTTTTGATAGTCAGACATGTTCATATTTTGGACACTTTAAATGAACATTTCCAAATCAGTTTTTCTCTGAGCAATTACAGAAACAGTTTCATGTCTTCCTTGTGATTTACTTCTTATTTTTAAAATTTCTCATGTTGCTTCAAATGGTAGGTACCTTCTTTTGAATGAAAAAAGTGAGAAAGTTGAGGAGCAACTTGGAGTTGTAAGAACCAATTGTATTGATTGCTTAGACCGTACAAATGTTACCCAGGTATGTTCAGTTCAATCAGCATGGTAATTTTTTTTTTTTTCCATTTTTTAATTTGTTGTAGTATATAATAGGAAACCTTTTGTAACTGGATTAGTGATCTTTCCAGGGTTTGCAATCCTGGGTTGCACCTTTAGACAATGCTTCCTTCAACCTTTCAAAACTGACACAGAATATTATTTTCCTTTCATGGTTTCTACCTGTTTTTGCTCCTAGGGGAGCTTAGAAATTTAGTACTAGTTTTACACGAAACAAAACCAAGAAATAGAAATATATCTTAGTGATATTTTGAATTTTACTTCTTCTTTTGCTAGCGAGGTCTTAACTTTATTGATTTACATGTATTTTACCCTCCATCAATACAATAATTTCCATATCTTTTTTTTGTATTCATTTGAAGGTTTTTTTTTTTTGTGTGTGTGTGTATGTGGCATTTATATTCCCAGGATTCTTTCTGTTGATTATCCTCTGGCACCTCAGCATATGGTTGATTTGTTTGTGTGCATGTGCCTGTACTTGGATACTGCAAGGACATAAATGATTTTTATGATGTCTTTTCAGCCTCACAAAACCCTAAATATGATTTTGGGGGTGTTTGGCAAGAAAAAAATAGCCTGGTTTAGGCTAAAATTCACAAAAAGACAAAATAGACTAAAATAGCTAATAAGATAAAATATCACATCAAACCCATAATCATTTCACTTTTTCTCTCACAAACATCCCAAATACAAAAATTTTAGCCTACTAAAATAGCCAAAAACTAAAATAACCTACTAAAATAGCAACATCCCAAACACCCAATTTGTGGATGCTTTTAGAAGCACATGTGTGTGTGTGTGTGTGTGTGTGTGAGAGAGAGAGAGAGAGAGAGAGAGAGAGATTTATTTGAAAACGTTATTATTATTCAAATTAGCATATGCTCACTGTATTCAAGTGAGTGCTATGATTTTATTCTGTGCACTCTTTGCTTAATTGTTCTTTTGTACCTTCTGGTAACATGATCTATTGCTGCAGAGCATGCTTGGTCGAAAAATGTTGGAATTTCAACTTAGAAGGATTGGTATTTTTGATGCTGAGGAAAGTATTAGTACACATCCAAATTTTGATGACAACTTCAAGATTTGTGAGTATTTTTATAATTGTCATCGACTTATCTGCCTTTGGGTAGATGAGTTGCATTCCTTATATTTTTATTTGCCTCCATGTGCTAGTTACTTATTATCATATTATGGATTTTTTAGAATGCACCATATATTCTGGATTGTTTTTGTTTAAATGTAATTTCTTTTCCATATTTTTTTCTCAATTTTTAGTATGGGCAAATCATGGGGATGACATAAGCATCCAGTATTCTGGTACTCCTGCTTTGAAAGGAGATTTTGTCAGGTAAGTTTTCATTGATCTGCCTTGAGGTTGTGTTCATGTGTGTGAATATGTGTTTGTGCTCACACTTGTCAGTTTACAATAGAAGATGTTACTCAGTTTGAAGGTGAATGAAATTGGTTGTGAATATTTGCTTTCTTCTTACATCTGCATGATGCAATGTGCGAAACTTAATGCTCAAATTGATCAGTCTGCAGACATCCATTCATATGGTATAGAAATTGCTCTGGCATTTAGTTTAATCTCTACAGGATGGGCAACTTTTTATATTGGATCTCTAGGACTTTCTGCATGCTTTGATTTTTCGCCTATTGATGACTATCAGCTGTTAGCAATGTGAAAACAATTGTTATACGAGTTCTAATCAAAATTGATGCATTGTCTGCCCCTTGTTATGCTCCATCTTGTTTTATCGTGCTTCAGTTTGTATGAGTGATGCATACCAGTGATACAAATGCATATCCACTCTGTCATTGACCAAATCAAACAAGGATAAATTGTACATATAGCTTATGAACTGCTGTGAACATAGAGTATTTGAAACTCATTTTTTACCTTTTCTCAAATATTACAATAAATAAATAAATAAATAATAGAAATAGAAGATTCACGCCTTTGTAAGCAACTCACTTTTTTTCGTGTCTTTTCTGAGATATCCGAGCTGTCCTACCCTAGATTTTTAGTGATTCCACTGAATTTTTAAAGATTTGGGTAAGCTTTGGAGTGGAAACTAATTGAAGTCAGATATTTATCTTATTCTTCTTCACCTCCTACGCCTTCTTTTTCCTTTCATGTGGAACAATTGATTCTTATTAGTTATAGTAGGTTTACTTATTTTTGTTGATATCTATACCTATATATGTCAAATTTTACAAAATACATTTTCATTCAATCTTTTTATATTTACTAATAAACTCTAATTTTGACCTAATACTATGTGTTTTCTAATGTTTCGTAGAGTATATGATAGAGCTTGTGAAGTGATTTTTATTCCTTGGATATTTAGAAATGTTACGCTATCCACTAATGAAAAGAAGATTAAATCGATAAGAAGGGGAATCGGAGAGCTGAGAATAATCTAGCAATTAGCTTCAACACCCATGTCTCAATCCCTAAGCGAAAGAGATGAAGAAAGTTGTAGCCATTTTTGTCAAATCGCGAATCGAATTGTGAGTCGTTTTGCTGAAAGAGTGAATCGTGAATTGCAAGATTGTTAGAATTTCCCATCTTTACCTTCACCTACTCCACTACACACTCCACTTCACCTACCTCCACTTCACCACACACTCCACTTCACCTAACCCACTATCACCTCCACTACACCTACTACCACATTTTCTTCTATATATAGATTGTATAGGAATTGTAATACAACAATCTTGTAATACATCAATCAATAATATACTTCAATATTTTTACAAAGATATATTTTATTTCATATGATATACAATATTATTAAGGGGTGACCATTGGTTTAACAGTTAAGACTTTGCCTAATAACCTTGAGGTTATGGATTCAAGTCTTGGGACTATCAATTTGCATATTATGCCAAAGGTTAGGTGTGTACTCAATCTTTTTCCCTCCCAAATACATATTAATGTGTACTAATTGGGTTTTTTTATGATATACAATGTTATATATTTATACACACAAAAATACACATGTAGTGTTTAAAATGAAGTAAATCAATATTACTAAATTGTATTTATTTATATACATATAAAATCATGTATATCAATAAAACTATTTGATCTCTTCTATTTATCTTGATAAGTTTGGCCAAAACAATGTTGTTTCATGCATTATTTAAACAAAAACAAAAATAAGACTGAATCGCAGTGAATAATAATGGATTGTAGTGAATCATAAGTTGAATTGCACGGTTCACTCAATTTCCGATTCAACAATACGATTTTCAAATCGTTTTTGTTGAAACTCGTATCAAATTATATGAATAGAATCGCGAATCGAACAATTCTAACAAAACAGACTTAAAATTGCACAACCAATGGTTGAAGAACTCTTAAAATGCAAGCAGCAACAACCCTTTATATGCATATAGTATTTGCCTAACAAAACAAAGATCTCAGCCCTTTATTTAAATCTAATCTAAGGGCCATTATTCTGTCCTTGAAAATGAAAGAAAATTAAATGACTAATTAGCCCTTAAGCAGTCACATGACTTAAAAAGTTACATGATCTTTTAAGTAATAGTACTACAACAAAAATATACCATGGATAAATACTTAAATGACTGACTAACAGAGGAAATATCAAACAGTAAATAAATTTCAGATTTTAGTCTTCTTGGGATCTTCTTTTGCTAGTACCTAAATAACAACTCCTAATGCTCTGCATCAAAATGTTTATGCTCAATTTATATTAATTTTTGAATATATATTTTATATGTTTTGGGATTCTAGTTCAATAAATGTGCATATCATTGCATTTTAGCCAATACCAAGTTGGATTGGGCCCTACCAGTACCAAGTCTAATTTTGATACTTGTAGCCAAGGATCTGTTTTCACAAAAGACCTCCAAGAAATGTGCATATGCTAGCATGTAACATACAGATTTCTGCTTATCTTCTTTGTGCATTCTGTTTTTCAGAATGGATTCATGTTTCTCATAAATTAGTGTACTAGATATTTATCAAAAAAAGAAAAAAAGAAGGTAAATTAGTGTCCTAGATGTTGACCAATCTTCTTGTTTCTTTTTCCTAACATGTTGACTGGGGAATTTATGATGATGTGTCACACTGAAATGTTTTGCCAAAACTTGTAATTGTCTGTAAATAACTGTGTTGTATTTGTAGATGCGGCCAGCGTACAGTCCAAGGGATTCTTAAAGATGGCCGTAATGCCCTTGTACGCTATTACCTGAATAACTTTGTTGATGGGAACAAACAGGTTGGTATACTTCATTCCTTCAATGACTTTAGTTTGTTGAATTTAGATCCAGAAGTAGTAGATTAGCAATGAAGTATTTATCTGTCTTAGCTATGTGATCTACCTCATAACTGCTATAACATATTCCATTACAAAATTTTTGTTATCATATTTTTATCAGCTGTCTCATAGCTGGCTGACGTTTGTAAATTTTCTCCACACCTTATTTAAATGGCCTTTACAAGATGGACTTTTGTCCCTTAGTTTTTTTTTACTCTTTCATTCACCAGAGGCACATGCCCTTCAAAATCACATGTTTTGATTGGTTCTTGAAACAATCATGGCCAACTCTGAACATGTTCGATTGAGCTCACCACAAACACCAGCTTAGCCCGAGCACATCCTTTGATTGGCCAAGACAAACCAAAATACATCAAAGCTTGGCTTGGTTCATTTGCAGCCCTAACCGTAATTTATCCACTGTGCATCAAAGTTGGGTCAAGTACTTGGGGGCAGAGCCACATGTACTTGAGTAGGGTCAATTGTGGGGTTATTTCAAGACTTCATGTTGTACTTTTTGAGATTTTTTAAAAACTCGTTCAAAATAGGAGAAGGGGTTAATTTTTAATATTTCAAGTCCAAATTTAAATTAAAAGACCTTTTTTTTGGTAGTTTCTTTATAACTTCAAGGTTGTTGGACTTCATGAGAGTGATAGTTCTTATAAAAAGTTTATGTACTTATAGTAGTCATCTATTTTCTAGTATTACAAAATTAAGCTTATTGCCAAAGCAATTATGGCCTATGTTAGATGGAATCTTCAAAATAAATCAAATACCTGTATTGGACACTTGATACTTGGATAAAGGTGTAGAATGTGTCTGATACTTACTTCTTACAGAATTGTACCATATTATATGCGTATTTTGTTGCATAGGTTATGACTTTGCTGCAGCGATTGTAATCATTTGATGCTACTAATTGTAGTACATTGCCCTGGCAGTAGCTAAATTTTCCTTGATAATGAGCTGATTGTTTAGAAAACATATAAGTAAACAAAAAGTATCATACTTCAAATTTTCAATTGTTTGGGAAAACATAGTAGTCTTATTAAGTTAATTCTTATAGTTTACTGTTTATAAAGGATTTGTTTCATGATTTTATTTTTCCTGATTTTTTGCTTTTAGTAAATCTATATGTTATTGTGGTGAAAGTATAGCTATTACAATCCTATTTTGAAATCAGTTGTATTGACCTTATAAACAAAATCCACTGCTGCAAGTACTGTTCTAATTGAATAATAATTTCTTTCCCATACCCTGCTTTTTGTGTGCTGTATATGCAATGATTTGTTAAGCAACTAATTTTATTTCTTGCAAAATCTTCATCAGCCTAAAAGTTATTTTTGGGATGTTTGTTTTGTATCATTCTATCTGAAAAATGATTATTTTTAGTCTGCTGAATTTTAGAATCATCAGTTTCTTTTGTCATTCAATGATGCATTTAACAATTATGTCCTACTAATCTTTCTACCTTTCATCTTGTTTTATTTATTTTATTATTTTTCAAATTCAATCCTGACAAATTTTACTCTGTTGGGACATGTGTGTGAAGGATGCAATTGATCTCCTACAAGGACACTACATTGTTTCTGTTACCCGAGATATCGCCCCTACATCTCAAAAAGGAGGCCTTGAGGCTGTAGCTGTGAGTACAATCCAAACAACTGTTTAGTTATATGCATTTAAAATGTGAATGATTCTCTCTGATTTTCTTGTAACTTGAATAATGAAGATTGCCATATCATTATCATCCAAAGTAGCTTCTTCTGTCATTCAATTTTAACATACTTTGGTTTATTCAAATCGCACTACTGGGCAAAGACTGAAGAAAGGAGGGGTGCTGCATTAATAAAACATTTAGTTGCATCTTTATGAACATACCTTCAGTAGAATTTAATTATTTAGTTGGTATTAAAGCTTATTTGAGTTGAGTTACATTTTTGTTAGTGGTGGGTAAGATAATGGTAGTATGGAATCCAATTGGCCTAAATCAGATTTTATTGCGATTAACTAATAATCAACTCGTAATTAACAAGTTGCAGCTACATTTTGTTGTCTACTTGTGCTATTATCTGAAAAGTAGCCATCTGGATAAAAAAAAAAAAAATTAGAAAGTACTGCTTCCCATCTGTACTCGTCATAATGATCGTGATTTATTAGTTTTCTTTTCAAGATCACTTATCTCATGAACTATGAAGCTTAGATCATTAAATGACATAATCACGGTCTGGTGCCGTTTTTCTGATGAAAAGCACCATAGGTCCTGCATTCCATGGAAGAAAATTAATCATATATATAGTCACATGCTTAGAGGTATGCATGCACAAAATGTAAGAAGCAAAATGTTAATTATCACTAATAAAATCTATAAACAATACCAATTTATTATATTTTTGTTGCCACTCTCTCTCTCTCTCTCTCTCTTCATTCTCTAGAAAATTTCATTTTAATTTTCAAGAGAGGTATATTTGTCTTTGTTAAGTTCTTGAGAGTTTCTAGGGAATGTGACTTGTATAGCTAGATCATATGAAGCATGGACACCTCTCCGGTGGTCATTTTAATTTTCAAGAGGCATATTCCTCGAAATGTTAGCCCTATTTTAGTGTGATAATGGTGGAAGTCTGAAATATAATTTCAATAATTTCCACTTTCTTTTCTTGCCTTCCCTTTTGGCTATGATGAATTTTTTTATGACAAATTTTCTGCTAGAAAATTATGGAACAATAAATTTCTCCTTCTGACAGACAATCTCATGAATTTGTTTCTGCAGTCCTTTCCACTGGCTTTGTCACTGGTCCTGCTTGGATTCTTCCTCACAATACTGTCATTGAGTCAAGGTGAGTTGTTCTTTATTTGGGTAAATTCTGCAGTCCTTGTGTTCCATAATATCTTTGGTAAAGGTTTAAGCCCTCTACTATAATAGCATTGTTCCATATGGAGTCCGTTACTAAAAAGAAATAATTGGTGAAAAGGAAAAGAAAATATTCTCTTTGTATGAATTTGATTAGGATAAAAAAATTTCTAGGAAAAAGAGAAATGAATTCTAATTATAAGTATTCACTTTTACAAACAAATTTTTTTTAGGGGGGTAATAAACTAAAGGCTTAGTTTCTATGTTACCATGGGTTTTGTAGAAAAATTAACTTCCACAACTTTCATTCTGAACAAACTTAAGAAAAGTGGTTTTTGTTTCCCCCACACTTTCCACCACTTTCATCCTAACCAAACTTGGCCTATATGGAATGTGCATTTGTCTAGGTATTAGTATTACTTGAATACAAAGTATTGCTTTCTCAACATTCATGCAAATTCTTTATTTATTTATTTATTTATTTTTCAGTTCGATATGATCTTCGACACTTGTTCTTCTCAACCTTGTGGGCAAGCATGAGTGTAGCAATAGCTGCATATGTTAAAGCCCCCGGTAGGATTTTCTGTAATCAGCCTCGTCTGCACAAACCACGGCGTTGATGATTCTAGGTTAAGGGCGGTGCTCCTTGCAATGTGGAATATTTATCAAGCTCACTTTTACTGCTGATCATTTTTCTTCTTTTAACATTATTCTTTGTAATCCATATAATTTTTTGACTTGTTCATTGTTAATGTTTGAAGGTTTAATAATGACCTATATTGGGATGCTGCCTTTTTCGGGTATCAGCTTTTTTTTTTCCCATACTTTTTAGGCTGCATTAAGACTGGTAATTTTACAGGAATGCTGTGTAAGATGAACCTCTGTACATGTGTACATGTCCAGTTACATGCACAAAAATCATGTTCTATTGTAAGATTTACAATTGATTGAATCTCACTCTTCAACATGATGACAAAAGATTCAGCTTTCATAACCCTTCCTTTTGGGTTTCAAGATGATGGACTGAATCGCAGTGAATAATAATGGATTGTAGTGAATCATAAATTGAATTGCACGGTTCACTCAATTTCCGATTCAACAATACGATTTTCAAATCGTTTTTGTTGAAACTCGTATCAAATTATATGAATAGAATCGCGAATCGAACAATTCTAACAAAACAGACTTAAAATTGCATAACCAATGGTTGAAGAACTCCTAAAATGCAAGCAGGAACAACCCTTTATATGCCTATAGTATTTGCCTAACAAAACAAAGATCTCAGCCCTTTATTTAAATCTAATCTAAGGGCCATTATTCTGTCCTTAAAAATGAAAGAAAATTAAATGACTAATTAGCCCTTAAGCAGTCACATGACTTAAAAAGTTACATGATCTTTTAAGTAAAAGTACTACAACAAAAATATACCATGGATAAATACTTAAATGACTGACTAACAGAGGAAATATCAAACAGTAAATAAATTTCAGATTTTAGTCTTCTTGGGATCTTCTTTTGCTAGTACCTAAATAACAACTCCTAATGCTCTGCATCAAAATGTTTATGCTCAATTTATATTAATTTTTGAATATATATTTTATATTTTTTGGGATTCTAGTTCAATAAATGTGCATATCATTGCATTTTAGCCAATAACAAGTTGGATTGGGCCCTACCAGTACCAAGTCTAATTTTGATACTTGTAGCCAAGGATCTGTTTTCACAAAAGACCTCCTAGAAATTTGCATATGCTAGCATGTAACATACAGATTTCTGCTTATCTTCTTTGTGCATTCTGTTTTTCAGAATGAATTCATGTTTCTCATAAATTAGTGTCCTAGATATTTATCAAAAAAAAAAAAGAAGGCAAATTAGTGTCCTAGATGTGACATTGCAAATAAACCGTATCTTCTTGTTTCTTTTTTCTAACGTGTTGACTGGGTAATTTATGATGATGTGTCACACTGAAATGTTTGGCCAAAACTTGTAATTGTCTGTATATAACTGTGTTGTATTTGTAGATGTGGCCAGCGTACAGTCCGAGGGATTCTTAAAGATGGCTGTAATGCCCTTGTACGCTATTACCTGAATAACTTTGTTGATGGGAACAAACAGGTTGGTATACTTCATTCCTTCAATGACTTTAGTTTGTTGAATTTAGATCCAGAAGTAGTAGATTAGCAATGAAGTATTTATCTGTCTTAGCTATGTGATCTACCTCATAACTGCTATAACATATTCCATTACAAAATTTTTGTTATCATATTTTTATCAGCTGTCTCATAGCTGGCTGACGTTTGTAAATTTTCTCCACACCTTATTTAAATGGTCTTTACAAGATGGACTTTTGTCCCTTAGTTTTTTTTTTTTTTTTACTCTTTCATTCACCAGAGGCACATGCCCTTCAAAATCACATGTTTTGATTGGCTCTTGAAACAATCTCATGGCCAACTCTGAACATGTTCAATTGAGCTCACCACAAACACAAGCTTAGCCCGAGCACATCCTTTGATTGGCCAAGACAAACCAAAATACATCAAAGCTTGGCTTGGTTCATTTGCAGCCCTAACCGTAATTTATCCACTGTGCATCAAAGTTGGGTCAAGTACTTGGGGGCAGAGCCGCATGTACTTGAGTAGAGTCAATTGTGGGGTTATTTCAAGACTTCATGTTGTACTTTTTGAGATTTTTTAAAAACTCGTTCAAAATAGGAGAAGGGGTTAATTTTTAATATTTCAAGTCCAAATTTAAATTAAAAGACCTTTTTTTTGGTAGTTTCTTTATAACTTCAAGGTTGTTGGACTTCATGACAGTGATAGTTCTTATAAAAAGTTTATGTACTTATAGTAGTCATCTATTTTCTAGTATTACAAAATTAAGCTTATTGCCAAAGCAATTATGGCCTATGTTAGATGGAATCTTCAAAATAAATCAAATACCTGTATTGGACACTTGATACTTGGATAAAGGTGTAGAATGTGTCTGATACTTACTTCTTACAGAATTGTACCATATTATATGCGTATTTTGTTGCATAGGTTATGACTTTGCTGCAGCGATTGTAATCATTTGATGCTACTAATTGTTGTACATTGCCCTGGCAGTAGCTAAATTTTCCTTGATAATGAGCTGATTGTTTAGAAAACATATAAGCAAACAAAAAGCATCATACTTCAAATTTTCAATTGTTTGGGAAAACATAGTAGTCTTATTAAGTTAATTCTTATAGTTTACTGTTTATGAAGGATTTGTTTCATGATTTTATTTTTCCTGATTTTTTGCTTTTAGTAAATCTATATGTTATTGTGGTGAAAGTATAGCTATTACAATCCTATTTTGAAATCAGTTGTATTGACCTTATAAACAAAATCCACTGCTGCAAGTACTGTTCTAATTGAATAATAATTTCTTTCCCATACCCTGCTTTTTGTGTGCTATATATGCAATGATTTGTTAAGCAACTAATTTTATTTCTTGCAAAATCTTCATCGGCCTAAAAGTTATTTTTGGGATGTTTGTTTTGTATCATTCTATCTGAAAAATGATCATTTTTAGTCTGCTGAATTTTAGAATCATCAGTTTCTTTTGTCATTCAATTATGCATTTAACAATTATGTCCTACTAATCTTTCTACCTTTCATCTTGTTTTATTTATTTTATTATTTTTCAAATTCAATCCTGACAAATTTTACTCTGTTGGGACATGTGTGTGAAGGATGCAATTGATCTCCTACAAGGACACTACATTGTTTCTGTTACCCGAGATATCGCCCCTACATCTCAAAAAGGAAGCCTTGAGGCTGTAGCTGTGAGTACAATCCAAACAACTGTTTAGTTATATGCATTTAAAATGTGAATGATTCTCTCTGATTTTCTTGTAACTTGAATAATGAAGATTGCCATATCATTATCATCCAAAGTAGCTTCTTCTGTCATTCAATTTTAACATACTTGTTTATTCAAATCGCACTACTGGGCAAAGACTGAAGAAAGGAGGTGTGCTGCATTAATAAAACATTTAGTTGCATCTTTATGAACATACCTTCAGTAGAATTTAATTATTTAGTTGGTATTAAAGCTTATTTGAGTTGAGTTACATTTTTGTTAGTGGTGGGTAAGATAATGGTAGTATGGCATCCAATTGGCCTAAATCAGATTTTAGTGCGATTAACTAATAATCAACTCGTAATTAACAAGTTGCAGCTACATTTTGTTGTCTACTTGTGCTATTATCTGAAAAGTAGCCATCTGGATTAAAAAAAATTTATTAGAAAGTACTACTTCCCATCTGTACTTATCATAATGATCATGATTTATTAGGTTTCTTTTCAAGATCATTTATCTCATGAACCATGAAGCTTAGATCATTAAATGACATAATCATGATTTGGTGTCATTTTTCTGATGAAAAGCGCCAAAGGTCCTGCATTCCATGGAAGAAAATTAATCATATATATAGTCACATGCTTAGAGGTATGCATGCACAAAATGTAAGAAGCAAAATGTTAATTATCACTAATAAAATCTATAAACAATACCAACTTATTATATTTTTGTTGCCACTCTCTCTCTCTCTCTCTCTCTCTCTCTCTTTCTCTCTCTCTTTTCATTCTCTTGAAAATTTCATTTTAATTTTCAAGAGAGGTATATTTGTCTTTGTTAAGTTCTTGAGAGTTTCTAGGGAATGTGACTTGTATAGCTAGATCATATGAAGCATGGAAATATAATTTCAATAATTTCCACTTTCTTTTCTTGCCTTCCCTTTTGGCTATGATGAATTTTTTTATGACAAATTTTCTGCTAGAAAATTATGGAACAATAAATTTCTCCTTCTGACAGACAATCTCATGAATTTGTTTCTGCAGTCCTTTCCACTGGCTTTGTCACTGGTCCTGCTTGGATTCTTCCTCACAATACTGTCATTGAGTCAAGGTGAGTTGTTCTTTATTTGGGTAAATTCTGCAGTCCTTGTGTTCCATAATATCTTTGGTAAAGGTTTAAGCCCTCTACTATAATGGCATTGTTCCATATGGAGTCCGTTACTAAAAAGAAATAATTGGTGAAAAGGAAAAGAAAATATACTCTTTGTATGAATTTGATTAGGATAAAAAAAATTCTAGGAAAAAGAGAAATGAATTCTAATTATAAGTATTCACTTTTACAAACAAATTTTTAATTGGGGGGGGGGGGGGGGTAATAAACTAAAGGCTTAGTCTCTATGTTACCATGGGTTTTGTAGAAAAATTAACTTCCACAACTTTCATTCTGAACAAACTTAAGAAAAGTGGTTTTTGTTTCCCCCACACTTTCCACCACTTTCATCCTAACCAAACTTGGCCTATATGGAATGTGCATTTGTCTAGGTATTAGTATTACTTGAATACAAAGTATTGCTTTCTCAACATTCATGCAAATTCTTTTTTTCTTATTTATTTATTTTTTTTCAGTTCGATATGATCTTCGACACTTGTTCTTCTCAACCTTGTGGGCAAGCATGAGTGTAGCAATAGCTGCATATGTTAAAGCCCACGGTAGGATTTTCTGTAATCGGCCTCGTCTGCACAAACCACGGCGTTGATGATTCTAGGTTAGGGGCGGTGCTCCTTGCAATGTGGAATATTTATCAAGCTCACTTTTACTGTTGATCATTTTTCTTCTTTTAACATTATTCTTTGTAATCCATGTAATTTTTTGACTTGTTCATTGGTAATATTTGAAGGTTTTATAATGACCTATATTGGGATGCTGCCTTTATCGGGGACCGTAGTTTTTAGGCTGCATTAAGACTGGTAATTTTACAGGAATGCTGTGTAAGATGAACCTTTGTACATGTCCAGTTACATGCACAAAAATCATGTTTTATTGTAAGATTTACAATTGATTGATTATTCTTTGTAATCCATGTAATTTTTTGACTTGTTCATTGTTAATATTTGAAGGTTCTATAATGACCTATATTGGGATGCTGCCTTTTTCGGGTATCAGCTTTTTTTTCCCCGTATTTTTTAGGCTGCATTAAGGCTGGTAATTTTACAGGAATGCTGTGTAAGATGAACCTTTGTACATGTCCAGTTACACGCACAAAAATCATGTTTTATTGTAAGATTTACAATTGATTGAATGTCACTCTTCAACATGATGACAAAAGATTCAGTTTTCATAACCCTTCCTTCTGGGGTTCAAGATGATGTTTTTCTTTTAATATATTGCATGTTTTCTGCTTCTCAATATATATATATATATATATATATTTGGCTGTGTCGTCTTGATTCACATGATACTTTATTTTTTATAAATAATTCATTAGTCATATGAATGAAAAAAATGATACTATATTTTTTTACGCTGAAATGTATTTTTTTTATTTGTTTATTCTTGTGTCTTCACACCATGTGAATTAGTTTTAATTCCTTTAGTCGTATTAAAAAAAAAAGTCAGTATAATTTTACTAAATTTGTGGAGTTTATTATTTATTTATTTTTACAACTTAGGAAAAGTTGGTATAATTTTCTCAACTACAAATTATACCGAGGGTTAGAGCATTATTTTGTTCTACTTCAATTAGGTTGGCCCAAATTACAAAAGAGCATTCTTGTGTTTGAGTTACATTACAGCTATGGATCTTAAATTTAGAATTTACGTTTTAGTTCTACTATTTTTTTTGAAGTTATGTCCATAGTCCTGTATTTTGGCCTTGTATCATTTTGATTTTTATAATTTCAATTAGTTTAATTTTGATGTTAAATTTATGACTTTTTAATTTAGTCTAATTGATTATAATTGTTAGTAGTTTAATGGAAAATATACATATTAGTGGCATCTATCATGTTTTTAGAGACAAAATTAAAAACTCACTTAAATCAGTAAATTAATTTTAACCGATTCAGTAATTATTTTTTGTAAAAAAATAATAATGGTGTTATTAATTAGATCAAATTAGCAGTCTCAAATTAGTCAAAATTGAATTAATTGTAAGTGTAGAGACTAATATGATATAAGAAACAAAATGTAAGTTGGGACAAAAAAAAAAGAAACAAAATGTAGAGCCTAGTAATATAATTTGCCATATTTATTTCTTTCATTAATTCAAAGGCTCTTGTTTAATATGTCATCAATTGGAAGCACGTATTTATTAAGCATGGCAATGAAAAATTAATAGAAAATTAAAAGCTCACTTAATTCAGTAAATTAATTTTAACCGATTCAGTAATCATTTTTCGTAAAAAAAATAATAATGGTGTTATTAATTAGATCAAATTGGTAGTCTAAAATTAGTCAAAATTGAATTAATTGTAAGTGTAGAGACTAATATGATATAAGAAACAAAATGTAAGTTGGGACAAAAAAAAAAGAAACAAAATGTAGAGCCTAGTAATATAATTTGCCATATTTATTTCTTTCATTAATTCAAAGGCTCTTGTTTAATATGTCATCAATTGGAAGCACGTATTTATTAAGCATGGCAATGAAAAATTAATAGATTTGAGCTAGATTGACTAGAAATCCTAAAATACCTACCCTATGATCTCTTTTTGGCGTGTATGACCCTTTTCTTGCAGCTTTCAACAAAAGGAACTTTACTAGTGGCCATGCGGTGTATGAATTCTTCTCTGATTAGATTAATTGTGGGTTTGGTTTAGCTTTAATATTCACAGTGTCACCAACTTGCATATGTTATTGATCTATGCTTTTGCTAGTTAAGGTACATGCATCAAATGTTAATTAAAGCATATATTCTAATCATTTGGTAGATTCGTTGTATGTTATCCTATGTATATAATTTATTTTCCTGTATTCAAGTGTCAAATACAAGAAAATTAAAAGCAAATGTTTAGATAGTGTGTGGTTTCATGAAATGAAGGTGAAATAAAATAGAATAATTATTTTTTAAGTTACTTGAAGAATGATGTTTAATTTTGTGATGAATAATGATTCAGTTTACAATGTATCTTTTAAATAAACTAAAACTGAAAATGAATATTCTAACCGAATGATTATTTCATTACACACTATTTGGTAATTTGACTTCAATCATGACAAGCATTTTAAAAAACTAGTTTAAGAATTCGAATTTTATGAGAGCAATTCCATTATGGTGCAAAATCCCATGCCAAAAGTCAAGTTTTGGAAATTGAAAAAAAAAAAAATTCTCTAATAGTGTGCTAAAATTTATATTGTGCTATAGTATAGCACAATGTAAAATTTTGATAACTTTAATAGTTGATTTTTGCCTAGGCTAAAGTTTATGAAGTTCTCATGTATCTAATTTTAAAATTTAAAGTTATATACAATTATATCGTATGATAAAGATTGAATCATAGAATTATTATGCCGAAGTATGACAAGTGTACAATTAGTGCATTGCTAAATTTTTGACATCTTTGCCTGGAGATGACTTTGGCTATTGAGTGAAAATGTTTTGAAATACTTAGCTTAAGAAATGTGCTCAATAATTACCTGATGATATTGTTGGCTGCATATTTTGTACAAGCCAATCACAGTTTAACACGTGGCAGGATGAGGACAATACGGGAAAGCAATTCAAGTCTTCAATTATAATCATACACGTGATAGTTAGTATTGGTTTTTTTGTAGATCTGCATAGCACTGGATCAACAAAGAGATGCAAGATGACGTGGCTTCAACGGTTACTCATACTTAAATTAAAAATTAAGAGGGAAAACCTAATTGCAGATATGGCATAGTGGAGCTAACTATAAGGCAACATGATCAGCAATCATGGAAGGATGGTTCGACGGTTAGAAATGCAGTTCGACGGTTGTCATTAAGAAATATAAATAACAGAGAAGGCCCCAGAAAGCCCCCTAGACTCAGATCCAAAAAACCAGTTTTATCTACTTTATTTCCTTTCTAGTTTTTACATTTCTTGTTCTTTATATTTCTATACTTCAAATTCTTGCACTGCACTTCGTTCGTAGGAGTAGTTTCAAGTAGTTTGTTGATGTAAACCTCTAAGAGGTTGATTTGGATCTTTGTAAGTCTTTCAGTTTACTTAATGAAATGTTATAATTATTCTTCATTTAGTTATTGTCTACTTAATTTTCCTAAACAAAGCCACCAGTAAAAGTCTTCTTCATTGAGACTGAAAGAACTAAAACACAATCGTCTGATAATTGATTGGCAATTAACATTCTGTAAGGACTGATTGATCATTGCTGGCACGCTCACAATTACAAAAATAACCTTTGAAAGCCAAAAAAGCCAACATATATTTTTGGCACGCCCAGTGGGACTAATTGAAATGGCTAGACGTAGGAGTCAAGGAGAAAATGAACGCTTGGAAGAAGGCGTGGAAGGAGAGGTAGAAATACCTAATCCAAAGGATAATATGATAACACATCCTTTGGAAATACCTGTTTTATCAGAACCTATGGTCAAACAGACCAGTACTTCGGAACAAGTACCACATGTACAAAATATTGGACGAGGCCAAGGAATTGGACCATTCATTATTCCATCTACTCAGCCAATGAATGCATGGGGTGGCCTATTAGATGCCATGGGACAGCAGTTAATGAACACAGTGGAAAGGTGGGCAATGTCCTTCATGGATCAAATGAATACCCACCAACCAGCAAATACAAGGCATATAGAGGAAAATTCAAATGTCCCTCAACAAAGATTGGCTAGAGATAAACAGCTTATGCAAATTAATGGGCATTTTAATGGTCAAACTAGTAACCAAAACTATGAAAGACCATCACCTCAGTCTTGGCATGAACCTCTTTCGAGGCCTATGGCAAATCAAAATGCCTCATCACTTAACAGTGAAGCCATGCAAATTGGTAGATCTAGCCCAACACAAGATAATGGCATAACGATGTTTCCAAATCCCATGTTCGAAGCCATACCTGGCACGAGGGGGTTCACTAATCCTTTGTTTGAATTTACACCTGGGGGGTTAGAAGGGTTCCCTACAATTGGAAGAGACACAACACCTGTTACAGCACCTTTCGCAGGTCCTTTCACAAGACAGGCTCAAAGGGGTTACCCATACCCTCAACAACAGCCAGCACCACAAGGACAACCAGTCCCAAATGTGCCACCCCATGGACCAAGAGGACCTTAGGCACAAGGTTGTCCACCAAATCCTATGTTTGTTCCTCCAACAGTGGTTCAACAAGCACAAAATTTGGTTCCTAGGGACCAAATTGTTGACATTGTTAGAGAGATGTGTGGACCGATAGCTCGGGGGGTTCAAACTCTTGTGTATAGGAAACCATATCCAGAATGGGTAGATATGGTACATGAATACCCAAGAGGATTTAGGATACCAGACTTTGCTCTTTTTTATGGGAATGAAAACCAATCAACAGTGGAGCATATTGCTAGGTTCGCTGCTCAATGTGGTGAATTTACCAATAATGATTACATGAAGTTGAGATTATTTCCAAATTCTCTAACTAGGGCAGCCTTTGTATGGTATATTAATCTTACACCTGGCTCTATCCAAACTTGGCAACAGATGGAGGAGGCATTTCATGCCCAATTTTTCCAAACGGAGCCAGAAGATTCTATGGCAGACTTGGCAAGGTTGAGTCAAAGGCCTGATGAAAAGGCTGTTCAATTTGTTGCCAAATTAAAAAGGGCACGAAACAAATGTAGGATTGTCCTACCAGAGCCTAAGTTTATGAGATTGGCTCAAAATGGTCTAGAGTTTAGGCTTCGAAAGAAGTTTGACTCAACTGAGTTTAGAGACTTAATGGAACTGACCTATAAGGTGTTTACGTATGAAGCATTACTAGAAGAAGAACAAGATCGAAGTAATGCATCATACAAGAAGTATTATAGGAATCCTAATTATGATATTGATGCAGCAGAGATTGTAGGGAAAGAACCTGTAATCTGTGAAGCATTAATTCAT